AGGGCGCGGTGCTGGCCGGGGTGCCCTCCTGGGGTGCCCGCCGAGCCCTGGGGGGACCTGGGCCGCTGTGTTTCCGCCGCAGGTGGAGGAGGCGGGGCACGTCTCCCTCCTGATGAAGAAAGACTATCGTATCTCCCGCAACGTGCGCCTCGCCTGGGTCCTCAGCCGACTCCATCAGGTCATCTGGGCAGTGCCGGAGCCGGAGCTGGTGAGTTGGTGCCCAGGGCTGGATGGTGTCACCACGGCCTGGTGCGGGAAGCTGGTTCTGTGCCGCTCGTGAGCAGCTGGACGCCGCAGAAGATTTTAACCCAGTTCCTTTCTCTGATTCTTGCTTTGGCTTGGCTTGACGTTCTCTCACGTACCATTTACTTGTCCTTGTAGGTAAAGTCAGAAAATGAACTTGATGTTCTCAGCATCCTGCCCAACGGGTGGCAGCCAGACGAGCCCGTCCAGCCCAGGCCCTATCTCCTTGTGCCCTCTACGCGGGTCACCTTCCTGGCCCGCCAGTACCGATTTGTGATTGAACTTGATCTGAGCCCTTCCACGGGGATTGTGGTAAGCGCAGAAACTGCCTCTTTGGGGCGTTCTGTGTTAAAAGGCTGGACCCGTTTCTATTTGCTGAGAAGGCTTATTCCTCTCTGTGTTAGTCTTAACTTTTGCAGAAGACTTGCTTTTCCCGGGAGGGAGGCATGCAGTGCTCCTAGCTAGGCAGCTTGATGGCAGATCCTGTTTCTCTGCTGAATGCTCAGTGTATGACTTAAATTTACAGGGAGCTGTCATTTTAATCCAGCTGCTGTTGCAGAACGATGTTCGCTGTTGGCTCTGCGTGGTGGGGCAACCAGCAATGAGATTGAAAGTCCTAGAAGATGAAAAAGCTGTTCCCTTTCTCTGTTTCTGTAGGATGACTCAACAGGGGAGATAATTTTTGATGAAGTGTTTCACGCCCTTTCCCGATGCTTGGTGGGATTGTTAAGACCCTTTCGTATCCCTGGTTCAGACATTATCTACCAGCCAGAGATCTTTGTCACCATCCAGGCGTATTCCTCCATCATTGGCCTGCAGTCCCATCAGGTAAAGTTCGGCCTCTCCCTTGGCACAGCTCAGCGCGTGAGCAGCTTGCTGTATGGGCTTCCTGTGAACACAGAGGAAAGCAGGGGCACGTGGTAGCTGGGCTCTGTTATCTGTGATGCTGCAGACTTTGTCTCATTAAAATGTGCAGCCTGGTGCGGTGGGGAAGTGTATGTGAGCCACTTCTCCTTTCTGGGCAGGAAGCGGAGGTTTCTCCTGGGGGAGCAGGGCGCAGCAGAGAACGCCGCCCACAGGCACAGTCTCAGAGTTGGGCCACAGGGAATATTTCCCTCATGTCGAATGTGTGCTGCTTGTTGTTGTGTTGTTGTGTTGGTTTTTTTTTTTATTTCTGTTGACTAATTCTTTTTGGCCTGTTATAATTAGCTTGAAGCATTCTAGAAGAGCTGGTGTGCCCAAAAGCTTGTCTGCCTGCTCCAACTGTGCAGCAGTGGTTTATTCAAAGATAATTGCCTCTTCTTACAAAGCTCGCTCTCTTTTTGGACTGGTATGAATATGTTTCTCCTTGCTGGAGAGAGCAGCCAGCCCCGGTATTGAGGTTATCAATGAGACTTTACTTGAGCCGGGGCAGGTCTGTTTAATAAATTGAAGTCTGGTTTATGGTGCCAGTGTGGTTTTTGAAGTTTATCCTTGATCCCTTCCACCTCATAGTATTTTCACATTATTTTCACGTTTCTGATGGTGTATTTCATCCCTTTGCTAATACCAGCGGGTAGTAACAGGAGAAGCCTGTTAGTCTACGCTTCTTCCCTCCCTCTCTCTCCCCAGCCCACCTCTGCCCAAGCCTTCTGCAAGGCTGCAGCCTTTAATGGTCTGTATAGTGCTTGAAGAGCGCAGCCCTCGCTTTGGTCCGTTCTTGGGTCCTACCGAAGTAAGCGTAGCAGGAATTTCTCCGTTTGCCAATGAAATGCGTCACCTTGTCCAGCTATCCTGCAGACACCATCATGCTTTGCCTCAGTATCTCCCCTATTTACACTAAATTGAGCACTCTGAAGTTGCTACATTTTTCTTTGGATCTCTCTAAAGACCTGTTTATTTTATGAGGCCAGGAACTGTCATCTCTGGGTACAACTGGATAAGCTTTGTATTCCTTTTATGGAGGAAGAGTCGTATATGTGTATCACTCATCTGGGAAAGCCTGTCTATATTGTCATCATTTACTTTTCCTATGTCACCATGACGTCTTGCCCATCTGAGGTTGAGGGAATGTGGATAACATGCAGCATCCCACCTGTCTGTTGAGTTCTTTGTCTACACGATGTATCTTCTTTGCCTCCTGGTTGTGGACAGAAGTTGCCAGTACAGTGGTGGCATCTGTAAACACAAGTGTCATGCCTGTCAGCTTGGGGAGTTTCTGTGGTGCCAGGCTCACTCTGTCACATCACTCAGCCTCTTCTGTAATGTCCAGTCTAATTTTTTCTTTTCTTTATTTCAATTTGCTGTTCCTTTATCCAGCCACTTACTGGAAGATAATTGGATCAGTCTATAGGTGAGTTAGATTAGAACAAACAGGCCTTCCTTAGAAACATCAGACCAGAGTTAATGGCTTCTAACAAGGATCCCACATCACTTTCTCCTGACAACTGCTTATCCTGGAAGAAGGCAAATGAAGTAGGAATTTCTTGCTCAAGAAGGAGATTTCCCAGAGTCGTGAGCATTTGCTGCGGAGTGCACTGCAGATGCCATGAGACACCGCTGCTCACAGGCAGCTAGCTCTGAGCAGGAATAGTGAGAAGAGGCCTCTGCTGTACCTGTACTTTGTCAGGGACGTGTCTGAACTTGAACTCTCTTCCTGTGTATCATTTTGGGGGCTGGTACTATAAAACCTTAGCTTGATGACTGACGTGTGTGTCTTTGGGCCAGGTGCTATTCCAGGGCTGTCAGCTGGATGAGACGAAGCGAGAGGCCTTTCTGCACCAAGTTTACACACAGCTATGTGCCTTTGAGAACAAAGTGGCAGAGATGCTCCAGCAACAGTATGAACCCAAACCGCAGGTAAGGAGGACAGAGGTGGCTGGGGTCTCTTGGCTCCCTGGAGATTTGCACTCTGAGGTCCCTCTGGGGTGGGGTGGCAAGAGGAACAGCGGCATAGGTGTGGAGAAGGAACAGCTGAGGAGTTTGTAAGGTAACTTTGTGGGATCCAGTAATGAGACATGAACACTGAGGAAAGCAGAACCAGTAAGTGTTTAGAAGGACTGATGAGAATGGTTACCTTCCCTGAGATTATTGTGCAATAAAGCAGCCTGACTTCTTGTACATCATGGGACAAACTGTAGGATGTGCTTTCTCTCTGAAGAAGATGGTGGGAGAGGTGATTATGCCTTTATCATTAATCTATAAATAGCTGTGAATATGCCCTTGGCCCTTGTTACATTTCTTGAATGAAAATACGTCCTTGTTACCACAAAAACTGACCATGAAACTGAATAAACAGCCAGTGCAGTTTCTAATACTCCTTGAAATCTGTGGCAGATGCTGTTTTGTAGCCACGGATACAGGTATCAGCAAGTTAATGATACCACTATAAAATACAGCTTAGGATGAAATTAAAAGTGAGACTCTGTAGGGAGTCAGAATATCTATGGATTTCTCATCAAGATCATCTCTCCTGATCTTGGAAATGAAGAATGTGAAGGTTACATTGTGATACTACCATGTTCACGTGGCAGTCACAATTGTATCTATGGGCACCCTTCTTGCAGTCAAAGGCATTATTGGCCTGGCTGAGGTTATTTAGTCCTTATTTAGCATTAGTTATTAGAGTTTGGGCAAAAAGAAAAAAAAAAGTCTCAAAATCAGTTGAGCAAGAGACCACTGGTGATCTATTGCAGTTGCATATCTGAAGTGCTTCAAATCTCATATTCTAGCTGAAATTTATATCTTTGAATGCTAAGACTGTCAGTCCTGGAACAGAAAGAAGATTGCAGGAAGTAAATACCTTTCCCGGTGTGTCCAGCTGGTGTTTTTGCAGTGCTTTGTATGCATT